ATAACTTCTAAAACTAACTGAAATTAAAATTAAAACAGAAAATATAAGAAATAACTCATTCAATGTTTTTAATAAAAACTACAACACATTTATGATACTAAAACAAATCTGCAGTGCATAGAACAACAAAGGCAGTTCCACTTATGGGATAAATTGTTATTGTTTTATGGCATATTTTATTAGATAATCAAAAAAGAAGTGAGGGTACATTTTTGTACATTTCAAAGGCATTATGTGTGTCTTTCTTTTTGTAATTGCTTTATACACTTTTTTTTTTCATTGTTCATTGCTATTATCAATATCGATATTTTCAGGTGTCCCAGTCCAAATGACAAAGCGGAGCTTCTGCAGAATGGTGTTTCCACATCCAGCCGTTTCTCCTTCAGCATGTTTATCTTCATTGCAAACTCCACAAAGATTTACCTGCACTGTGCTATTCACCTTTGCCTTCTAACAGACAATAACTGCTCAGTTGTGAGTGTACAAATCCTGTCACAATATCAAATATTTCAGATATTTCTTATGGGTGTATAAGGACTACACTTACACATAATAGATACTTGTGGCTGTCTTCTGCTGATGATGTTTTGTGACAAATATGATAATTATTTAATGACATAAATTGACTTACGACCTGAATGTCCTGTTTTTGTTACTTTTAGCACTGTGACTCTGAACACCACCACAGAGAGGGCAGATCTCTGGACTTCCACGACAGTACTTCTATATCCGTGGGTCCTTTGATGTGGTCTAACGGTAACAAAGGTGATTTATGGAATTAAACAAAACAGTTATGTTGTCTGTTTTTCATGCATATCTGACATATTTCATTTTTGCAATTGATGCATACTTAGCATTCCCTCTTCATAGGTGTGCAGGTGTCCAGGGCTCCAACTCTGTGTGCTTCTCTGATGATGTTACTCATTTCTATGATAAGTGTTCTAATATTCTTCTAGAATGTTTCCACTAATAATCATTTTAAGGATTCTCCCTGTAATCTAATTTGATTCATTTAGCACTGGTGCCATATTTACTTAACTGTATGTTATTATAACCTCCTTATGTAAAAAATATCAATTAGCAGACATTGCTGAATTGACGTTATTTCGATAAATGTAACTAGTCTCTTTACTCATGTGGGATGGAATATACAAAATTCTTTATTTAAAAATAAACGGATTAAACTAATTTCTGTTTGGTTTAGGTCATTTAGGTGTCCGTTTAAAACTCTTTCCCCCAGTTTCACAGACAAGACTTAAGGCTAGTCCAAGACTAAAATGCATGTTTGAGCTGTCTCAACTGAAAATATCTTGCTCTGACATATCTTAAAATATGTCAGTGTCATTGTTCTGTGTCAAGATTAATCTTCTAAGGCATTTTTGTAAAAGTTGCTTAAATATCTTAATTTAACTAAGGCCTAGTCCTGGCTTAAGCTAAGCCCCGTTTGTGAAACCGGGCCTTTGTGTTTTTATTCATGAGCCAATAATAACTAAACTTATTAGTTTAGGCTTTATCTAATATCTATGTAGTTAATTCATTTTAATGTACTAAAATAACTAAAACTGAAATAAGTTAAGGAAAACTATATTTAAAAAAATACTAAAAATGTATATAAATGTAAAATTATTGTAAAAATAAAAACAAATTCAAAATATTATTAAAAACTAGGTGGTCTATGAATTTACTTGCTTTTGAGAAGCCCAGCCCATGTCAGTGAGAACATTTATGCAAAAATGCAGTTGTTAAGCATATTTGCTTTATTTATTTATTTTTACGTTGACAAACAAAACAGAAACATGCTGTACTTTTTCCTGCATTTAAATCATTATACATATAAACAGTAAAACAATAAGTGTCAGGTTATGTATTATTTGGATCAGTGGAACTTCAAGATAATCTTTCAACAGCAAAATCTCCTGTCAACATTGTTCACATGCCAATAACCCATTCATGCCATAATTTCGTCATACATTTGTCATTGTACTGAAGATCACAACTGTACTCTGCACAAAACCTTAAACACAATGTCTAATTTTGTGTTTAATTTTATAGAACACAAAATAATAATCAACAGTTTGTCATAATTACGCAAAGTCATTCTATTGCTGACCTGGATTTAAAGGAAGACGTACATTTCTGATTTATGACAGACATGGGTTGTGCAAGAAGCAAGTTTTTCCAATGCCTGAAGGGCATTTCTTGTGGTTGTCATTAAAACAGCTGCAGAATGTGCTCAGTCCACCACCTGCTGCTCAACATATTTCTGTTAAGATTCTCAGGTTCATTCTATAAACAAGATGTGCAACATTCATGCATTGTCTTTTTTTTTGTTTTTTATTAATTAAATGTCTAGAACCAAAGTCTGAACCTGTGGTTATCAGATATGCCCAGATCATTATTTAGCAGACACTTTTATTCAAGCTTACAGTACACTTGAAGCAAGCTGGGGTGAAGTGTCTTGCTCAACGGTGATGGATCATGCTCACGCCTTGTTCCTTAATGGACGTGAACTTGCAATCTTCAGGTTATCAGTCAGACATTTTGCCTGAGGATCTGGTAAAACAAACCAAATCTAAATCAAGCAGTGCAGTAAACACAACACATTTGGGAAAACTAAAACTACTAAAATACTTTTAAATAAAACTAAAATAATACATAGAATATAATAAAACTGGAAAATTGTGCAGTCCACCACTTGAGAACCACTGTAGTCATTATAAAGCATTTCTTGCTCATATGATAAATACCATATGAATGTTGTCATGTCATATGAAAAGAAAAGAAAAACTGGTTTAGATGTTGATAAAGAGCTATGGTCCCTGACAGTATGAATCCCAAAATGATCATTTGAAAAACTTACAATGTTTATGAACAGCATATTTTTTTGCCTGATGTACTATTGTTTGCCATTATTTAGTCTTTGATGTTTAAGTGGAGTCTGTATATTTATTGATTATAATCAATTGATATAATGAAATATAATCAATCAAAGCCCTATGTCATTTGTAATCAAAGAATTGTCACACTGACAAAGGCAGATAGCTGAAACATTTGTCTATTTTATCTCCTGCTTTGACTCTAATAAAAGAGTGCAGACCAACCTTTGTAATGTTTGAATAAATATAGGTCTTGCCACCTAATTCAGCTGGGAGAGCGCAGTGACTTTGCATTGATTCCAGTAATAATAATAATAATAAAAAAGAATGTTAAGGATAGCTATATGAGATGTTAAAATTTGTTTGAAATTTGAGGCATCCATACGTGAACCTCATGCCCACTGAACATTTCAAAACCTGTTTGTCCTGTTGCTTCCAAATATCACTTAACTTCTTTTTCAGGTTTGTTTGCTCTTTGACACCTTTATCAGGACGATACATCTCTTCTTAATTCTTCTTGATTTCTCTCTTATTTCTAATTCAGGTTTAGAATGTTTGGGCACTAAATGATCTATTCTCATTTAAAGGATTATTGAATGCAACAGATAAGCATGATGTGTAAAGCAAACTTCAGCAGTAGCAGCAAAGTGTTCCACCTTGTGGTTCTTTGGATAAATGCAATCTGTTTACTGTATACTTGAGGTGCTTTTAATGTATCACACAATTTTTACTGTTGCATTTTTTTTCCAGTGAACTCCAGTCAACTGCTTTTTTCTACTGTGATTCAAGTCATAGGCTATATTATATGTAATGTAAAAACGTATGTGTGTCATGAGATATTAATAATAATTCATTAATAATAATTATAATTTATGCATTTAGCAGACGCTTAGCTTAGCGACTTACAGTGCATTCAGGCAGTATGTGTGTTCCCTGGGAATCGAACCCACTATATTAATAGGAGATCTGTTACGAATAGTTGTGTTGGACATGAGGATGTTTAAAAGCAGCTACATGTTTTGCAAAACAATGTTTTCATTAAAGTATAATCTTCAAAATCTAATCTATAGATATTAGCGGTAAATGCCATTATTATTTGTATAATATGTAGTCTTTTATATATTTATATCACTTTTTTCAGTGTAACAAGTTTGTTACAACAATTGTACAAATATTATATATTTAAAAAAATTAAGACGAGTTAAAACCTTTTACTTGTTTGAAAAAGTAACGCGTTACGTCACGTGACTTTGCCTTGATGCATTCCGAAGCACTGATTCGAAATACAAGATTCGAAGCTTCGTGAATCCGTGTGAAGCCATTTTAACTAATCGATAGATAACAGTTTGCATCAGTGACTGACTTGTGCATGATTCTCATTACTCTCTCCGCTGGGACCTGATGGTAAGAGTAAACTCTATATAGGCTGTATTGATTTTTTTTTTAAATATAGGCCCTATAGTATACAAACCGATTGTAGATATAACCTGCGAACCTGGAGAAACATGAGCTATTTGCAGTGATTGTGTCGATAAAAGAAGCGAAGCTTGTTTACATTTCTCTCTCATGTAGGTTTTCAGTACTGATTAAATTGCCTGCTACTATTATCCTGACTTTATTTCAACAATAAAAGCATAGTATGCGGGTTGTTTGGAATTAAAACAAACGGTGTCCGATTAAGAACGTTTGATTCTTTTGAATCGATTATTCGGCGAATTGACCGAAACGATCAGAATAACAAAATTATCAGTTTGAATTAAAATCGATCTGGGCCGGGTTTCTTAAAAGCATCATAATCTATCAAATACCTTTACGTAGATTTATCAAATACCTTTAAAACTTATGAGTTATGACCATTTCTAACTTCTGAGCTATTGGCTGCATTTGGAGCCTCAAAGACCCTGTGTGTGAAGTAGCCTACAGTGCAGTTTTCTTTTCAGTGTGATGCATATTCAATTTTAGGCTCAGTTCTTTTGTTTTCATAGATGATAAACAAATTTCAGACATATGTATTTTTGTTAATTTCTTTACTTGAAGCCATGTCCTGCCCCCACAGATATTCAGGCTCCAGAAGAAGTCCGTGTGTCATTTAATTTTTCTAAAAATTGTTTCTGTAACGATAGATCGACATAGTAGTCCCCATTATATCTATATCTTTAAACTGCATTCTGGGCAGTGAACATTAGATGGCACTGCATGCAAACAGTTGCGTGCTGAGTGTAGTCACTTACAGGCAGGGAGTTAGTTACATTTGTATCAGCATCATTTTCTCAGTTCTCTGCAAAACGGACATTTGTATCTTGATGGTGCATTGTGTAACTGTGTGTCTCTGGTGCTGAAAGAATCATGTTTGTCTAACATGATCGATATGCATCTCACCTCGTCCGGCTGGGGATGAAATTGAAATTGATTTGTGAACACAATGTTATTCAAAAATCCACCCTGTGATGCAGCTCCTTTGTCTGCGATGACACGAGTCTGTGGGATATAAAAGGGTCATGATGATTTCTCTGAGACATTTCCTTGACGTTTCAAGGTTTATTGCACACTAACAAGGATTATTATCAAACCACACCTTCTCTTACATACATTTTTCAACAGCAGATATTATTCCATCTGTGGTTCCATTACTTTGAGTAATGTGTCCTAATTAGCTAACTATAAAGATGAAACACTTTCACTTATTATGCATTATGATTTCTGCATTTTTAAAACGTGAGGTGCACCTCACTCCATTAGGAAAATGAGAGCCCATGTTGTTCTTTTGACACAGAATCAGGTTTAAAAGGATGCCAACAACGAGTCCAACATTTGCTCTATGGTATAATGTCTGGCACACTGATGCACAAATGCTTGCCAAGGCTTTCAAATAGCGTGTAATTACATTCATGCATCCCGTATCCTCATATGAATGCGTTAACATTGTCAGTGCTTTAAAGGAATAGTTAAAAAAAAAAAATTCTAGTGTAAAGGACATGTTAGGCAGGATGTTCATGCTGCTCTTTTCCATATAACCAATGATAGTAAATGGTGTTCCATTTTCATTGTCTTCATGCATTATATTTGAATATATATAAGAA